TAGCAAAGAGTTGCATGCAGCATAGTATTTGCAAAATCTTTCAACATTTTAAAGTTGATTTCTTACTCTAGATTGTAAGTTTAAGTCCATAGTAATTCCTTTAGCGAAAAATTAATTTGAAAACGTCTACATCAACAACTGCACCGTCATGTTGATTATGAATGTAAAAGAAGCTGTAGTTCAACGAATTTTCCCGGGAATGTATAATATACCTTTTGATTTTAAAAACAATTAGACTGCTAAAATGTTGTTGGTGACTTAGTAAGATCATATGATCAAATTAGAGAAAATCTTGTAAAGCTTGAATGAAAATGAGCAAATATCCATTGAGTATAGAATAAGAACTTTTCCGGGGAAAAGTTGTCCCATCATTCCTGCTTAACAATTAGTGAAGCTTTTCATGCTGATGTCGAGTAAAAAAGAATTAAGGTCAATTTTGGAATTGATTTCAGAATATCTCGAGAAGTATAAGGAATTCCGGAATGAACTTTGGTAGTAAATAAATGAAAATTGTTTACATATGAATAGATATGGATAGAAAGTAAAATTGTAAAGCATTTGATTTAAAAGAATTTTATTTTTGTAGGTACCCTATGAAAAGAGTTCCATACCTCTAATTTTTTAACAACTCAATTTTCTTCTAAGCAATCTAAAGGCCATTGACTAAGTAATGAATGGGAGTATAGTATATAGTACTCTTTTTCAATGATAAATGTAACAGAGACAATTGATTGCCTCTGCTAGGGATTGAACCCAGGGCCTCTAGCTTTCCAGTCCAGTGCTCGACCAATTGAGCTAAAGGGTTAACCCACTAGCCCAAAGCAGTAGGAAGCCGTGTATCTGACACTACCACATAAATATGTATGCAGTGTAGTTACTACCCACCCAACTCTCAAGTATGAATTACATGACTGTATCCTTGCAATAAAAAATCAGCAATAGGCATGCAAACTTATTTCAGACATCCAAGTATACACATTTAAAAAAAAATTATTAGATATATAGGCAATTCAATAGAATCTAACTTCTGTCTTTTGGTTTATCATGTCTAAAAATGTGTCTTGCAAGGAATATAATATACAGAGAGTTCAATGCTATACTGAAATGCAAAAGAAATGCAACAAGCAGTAATCTACAAATGTTTTAATTTTTTATCTAATGATTTTCAAAAAAGAATACAGTAAGGCTAAACTCACTTTTCAGAACATCAGAGATTTGATAAAAATGTTAAATGTTTATCTTTTAACTTTACTAAGTAACATATGACTGTTAATTAACCTCCCCCCTCCCAGCCATTTAATTACAACGTGCAAGACTGCCCTAAACAACAAATGTAGCTTAATTTCTACGATAGAATAGGTTAATCAATACCGAGATCTGAGCAAAGGATATATTCTTTGCAATTTTTAAATGCTTGTTTTTCAGATGATTAGGTAGAATTTTCTCTAACTTAGCGCATTGTAATAACCCTTGAACTTCCGGACCAAGGACTATCATTTACTGTATACAGGGAAATTTTCGCCCCTTTCGCCTTCTTTCTGATTGGGCGAATTTAAAACTGTGCGAATTCAAATTACACAGCATAATTTCTTAAACAAAACTAAGATTGGGAGAATTTAAAACCGGGCAAAATAGTTCGCAAGTGCAAAAGGGCGAAATTAACATGGGGCAAAAATAATCCTGTATACAGTATGCATATGATACATAAGACCCCGTTGAGGCGTAGTGCAGTGTATTTTTGCATCATCAACTCTCCATCACCTTTACTTTGAGATTTTCCAGCTAGAGCAATGGAAATGTGTACTTAAGCCGTTTTCGAGAAGCCTTAGTATCGTTACGGGAAACGAAAGTGATTTTATTTTTTGAAATATTGCTGCATTACTTAGGATGAACAGTACAAACCCTTAAAACTCCATACTATTGCCAAATGTTTTGTTAAACATGCAATTTTTTGATTTCTGTTAAGCAGACTCAAACTTGACTTCCGGTTATGGTACAAAAATCGTTCAACCGTTAAATTAACAATATTTACCAAATTGAAGATATCCATAATCTTAAGATACAAAATTCTTTATGGCACGCCAAATCCACAAAAATGAGCAAAACATAGTTTCACCGTTGATAAACTAGGTTCATCGATTGTAAACTATAGTTTATGGACTGTACACTATTGTTAACAACGTTAATGGCGTAAACTATACTTAACATCGAAAACAATCATTTTCGATTGCAAAACATAGATTATCTGATAATACAGTTTCACGATTTGTAAACTATAGTTTACAAACCATTAACTATAGTTAACAATCTGATAAATATAGTTTCACAATTTGTGAAACTATGATTAACAACTCTTAACTAATATAGTTTACGATTGTAAACTATAGTTAACAAATGTGAATCTTTGTTTATCAACAAAATCTATTGTTAACGCTTTATTCAGACAGATAAACTTAGATTAGCATTCGTAAACTATAGTTAACGACTGTTAAATATAGTTTTACAGATGAAAACTATACTTAACGAATTGTTAACTATACTTAACGAATCATTAACTATAGTTTACGGTTTGTAAACTATAGTTTACAGTCGATAAACCTAGTTTATCAATTGTGAAACTAGGTTTATCTCATTTTTGTGAATTTGGCGTGCCATAATTCTTTACTTTACATAATTATTTCCCCCTAAAATAGGGTGTTGCGTTTCTCTTGCATGTCAGTATATTTAGATCAAAAGCAAATGTTCATGTAATGTATTTACGGACATATGCAACGTACATCACCTACTGATAATTTTTCAAGATATTCTAAATTTAATCTTACAATACCATTACATGTTCTTAGACAAAAAATCAGCATGCGTTACCAGGGGTTTTGAAAAGATATAAAATTGTGAAAATTTTTGTATTATTCAAAGAAAAATGCACAAAAATTACAAAACATAAATTCAACATTTTTTTTCATCAAAAATTGTTTTAGAAGGGGTGTACAAATCCATATATAGACATTAAAAGTATTGCACACGGGTCCTTCATTTAGTGGAACTCTTCAACTCCAGGGAAGAACCCAAAAAATTTCAAACTACATTGCCTATGACCTTAATAGTACTTTTTTTTCATCGAAAATTAAGAGTTAAAAAAAAACTGTTTTATCTGAAATCACACTAATTGTAGCTTAAAAAATCTTTTTGAAAAATATTTTATTTTGAAGCAGTGGGTAAAGGTAAATTTATTCAATTCTACATGCAATTACATTTCAAAAATATGCCATTAAAGCTATAGCCAGCACAATTGTACTTTGGCAAAATGCAACAAAAAACTTCCCTACACATTTTACTTCTCCTCCAATTGAATTTATAATATTATATAACTTACAATATTAATTTAATTGTTTGCAGAATTGTTTGTAGCATATAAAGTCACTCCTTGAAAATGGTACATTGTAGTCATATCTCGTATTCGATTTTGAAAGCTAAATATATCAGAACAGTGCTCATAAATAGGCACAATCACACAGGTTCATGTAAATAAAACTTGTAGTTGATGTGCATTCCTTAAATGGTCTCATAATTTCTGCATTTATTCCTTTGCTTTTATGTGAATTTTCTGTTTGTAAATAATTTATTAACTTGTATACTTAATGTTACTTTTCTCCTGGTTCGGCAGAAGAAGTGCATAAAATTTGATAATAATTCATCACAACAAGTAACACTGCAATGTAAAATGTTCATCTATACTTGTCAGACCTCTACAATGAAATATCTTAAACTGTTAATTAAGAGGCATCGTCTTATAGAGGGGGTTGTGGAGATAGCAACGAATAAGAAATATGGCGGATAATGCCTTTTAAGAGTAGTGTGCAGCTGTACATGTATGTCCTTGTATCATTTATCCTAATATTTCTGTGCAATATTTTATATATACATTTGAACATGTAGTTACCGCTTTCCTCTTGCTCTCCTCGTTCTCACATCAACGCTTTCAAAACTCCACAAAAATTATATGAAAGATCGAATTATTTGGTTGGATTTCATTTTTTCTCTCTTTTAATGAGTGGATGAATAACCAGTATATTAATCATGCCCTTTTTTTTCCAATTTTGATTTTTAGTGATTAATTTTTTTAAAACTTATGAAAACAGAGTCAAATATGAAGAAACACAATGTAACCGTCACAGTAAATGGAGACAAGTCCCAGATGCCTTCAAAGTATATTATCCACGTTGATGTTTCTGGAGGTGAATACAAAAAGAGAATCACAGATGTCTTTAAAAAAGTTGAGGAGATGAAATTAAAATCAGTGGCATTTCCAGCTCTGGGTACAGGTAAGAATTTTCAAGAAATCTTGTATTTCAAGTGATTTTTTTAAATAGTACGTCATTCTGTAGATAATAGGTCTCTGATAGTTTTGAGAGCAGTGTTTGAGTTCAACTAATCCTGTATGGGCATTGGCTGACAACTAATGATTTGACAGTCTACAAGAATAATTACATATTAAACTGGAAAATTTATCTAACTAGTTAAAAATTTAAAAATGTATAGTCATTTTTAAAATATTACTAGTAATCAGATAAATTAGAAAATGTGTAAGATTATTATCAATGTCAATTTTTTAGTTTCGGCCAGCATCATATATTAGCATTTTAAATTTGATTTAATTTTTCTGATACATGTATCAATACAAAGATTTTTTTTTTTTTTTTTTATAATTTAACACGTTCAATGTATTTTTTATGTTTTGGCTTGTCAAGAAAGTTATTTGTAGAGTTATTTCACCAGGTATATTTGAAAATTAAAGAAAAATTGGTTATATTTAAGGGAATTACTGTTCCTTATGATTTTGCTTCCCCTTAATCAAAAATTTTTATATTTACAGAGTCTTTCTTGGGATTCATACGATTCATAAAAGTTTTCCTTTATTACCAAAAAAAATTGTACCGTATATTAATCAAATATTACTGGGGGTACTGTATGTTAAGGAAGACTTTTCTTCATATTAATCAGGTTTTGTTGTATTTTATGATATGATATTTTTAAACTTTTACATTTGCAGTGGTTAGTCCCCTATTTGTAACCCTTTATAAGTATTAATTTCTCCACAGGACAAGGAGGTCATCAACAGAAAGTTGAGGATTTTGCTCAGGAAATTTTTGATGCTGTAAATAAAGTATCCTCCAGTACAAAGACGATTTCAGAGGTTCATGTCATTATATATGACCATCAGATGACTCAACAGTTCATCATAGCCATGCAGAAGTGTTTTGAGGCAAAAGGAGCGAAACCTAAAGGATATTTTGATATGTTTTCTAACTTTCTTTCAGGTAGGCTTAAAAAAACTCTTATACATGTATCTCCCCAAATTAAATGAGCGAACTTCCTCTTTTTCAGTTTAAGATCAATTAACCTGGGGTTCACAGTAATATTTGTCTATTCTGACCACCACTGGTTCCACAGATATTGGTCAGATTAGATAACATTCTGGATGAGACAAGATATTCATCAATTTTTATTGTTTTACTTACAGGATGACAGTTTGCTTGATAGGGCGTGCTAAATCATTGTATGCTGAATTGTCATTTTACTCATCGATTGGATGTTTGATTTCAATGAAATCAATACTCATTTGCATATAAAAAAAACACCTAGCATTACCACTGGCACTATTGATTGATTGTTTACTACTATGCAGTAAAAAACAATTGCATGTGGACGGACAAAGCAAGTTTTACTCCTTATAATGATGAAATTGATAGCTATATAGAACAACAGTAGCAGAGTAGCCTTACTACTTCCATTTAAATTTTTATACCTCACGCAACAAGTTGCTGCTCAGACTACAAATAATGTACATGCACTGGTAAACAATCATTTAATGTGATGGGTCAGTATTATCAGGGTATCATCATTGTATTCTGAGTTTCATATGCAAATTAGCATTGATGTCATTGAAATCAAACATCAAATCAATGAGTAAATTGATTATAAGGACATAAACTTTTAACCCCCACCAAGCAAACTGTCATGCTGTTAGTAAAAGGATAATAAATGCAAAATATAATACTTAGTATTAGGCAAGATTCTCAATCTAATGAAAATCACAGGCACCTGACGAATAGATGGTGTAACCCCCACCCCCCAGCTTTCTTCCCCCTTTTTGTCAAGATTTAGGGATTGGTCCTAATAGTGTTTTTATATACTGTGTAGGACCAATCGCTTAATCTTTACAAAAGCGGAAAATGATAATTTTATCTGATATCATAATACAAGAATGACAGACTAGGAAATCATGTATTTTGATAAGTTTTGTGGTCTAATAAAAATTTTCAGGAGCTGGGTGTGTGTGTGGGGTGGGGGGTGGGTGTGGGGGGTGTTACATCATCCATTTGTCATGTGCCTGTGATTAAAATCAGACTTCTTAGATCCTCACCATGTACAATATGCGTAAGGAAATCTGAAGAAGATAAAATTTTAACGAAATCTGTTTCTTTTCTATATAATATTGATATTTTTTCGAGCGCACTGCCTCGATTATTGTAAACCAACTTTTATTCGTGTGCGAGAAATTTTTGCGAGGTTTGCGAAAGAGACGTCATCGCGAATATTTCTAGCCGCGAACCTGTCCTTTGAGTCTCTGTGTCTATTTGAAACAGTTCCAAGAATGCTTGATCGCGAGTCGTCGCAAATAAAAATTGATTTACAGTATATAAATACGTGAAAATAAAGTTCTCACGAATATAATGTGATTTACAATATCAGAAGTTTAATTTTTTCTGCAGTATTAAACATTCTGCATATATACATAGATTGAATAAATCATTGGTGACTAGAAATATTAACGAATAAAAGAAGGTTTCATAACTTGCACATATTTCTTGGTCACTAATTAAAGTTGAAGTCATATATAAACGTATTGAAACTATACATAAATGGATTTTAGGGGGAAAGCATGAAAGTAGTAAAAGATGGAAACCAGTGTTTGCAGACAAACCAGAGGACCAGTCTTCTGCAGTCATTGTGGTTTTTGCTGACAGCGATAAAGATATTGAGGCAGGAATAAAAAAATTAGAGAGCCTGCTAGATGCAGATTTCACCACGAAAGATTATCCAGACCCCATAATTAAGCATATTACACAAGGACAGGTAAAGTGTTCGTATATTACATGTCAGATTCTGCAAGATGACGTAATCTAATTTCTTTTATGTTTTGTCCTTTTGAGTCCTCATAAACTTTGAATATTTTGTTCTGTGAAGTTATTGTAATACTAGTATGTACAGCATACATACTTTTTTCAGCATGGGTTTTAACTTAATTTGCTATCTTTGCAGTCAAAATGTTTGCTGCAAAAATTTGTTTCAGCATAACTCTCATCAAAGAAATAATTATAGCAATCTAAGAAATATGTATACTATATTTTTTTTTTTACCTTTGATTAAACCAGAAAAGCAATTCTGCAAAATAATAACCCTGTAACCAATGTCTTAGAAGGATAAGCTACAATTAAAAAAAAAATGATATATCAATATGTATACCCTTTTCTACTGTACAAATGCAAGCCTTTTGAAAAAAAAAATTATTTGGTGAAACTAATTCTTTTCTTTCATAGGTTAATGCTCTTCACAATTTGAAACAAAAATTTGATATCGATGTTACAATTGATAAAGAGAAAGGCGTTGTCACCCTTCACGGAACCAATGAGGCATTACTGGAAGCTGCTGATCATGTCCATGGTCTGCTTCGAGATGCCGATCGCAGTAAGCAAGCAAAACTGGAAGCAGAACTTGTCTCCGACATTGTGCAGTGGTATTTTGTTGACAACTCAGATGGCCAAAATGAATTGCTGGCGTACCCAAAGAACATTAACTTGCTGGTGGAGAAAGCTTACCGCAACAAACAGCCGGATGTGAAATTTACAGATCAAGCAGGGACTGAGTATACGATCAACTTCAACAACATGGAGGAATACCCGAGCGATGATCCAACAGATGTCACAACGGTGACCCGTAGAGACAAAATCAAGGGTATTCTAGTTACAATTTATATTCTTCTCTATTTTACTCTATTTTTGCCACATTGGATCATATATTTATACAGTGGACCTTCAGATATCCGAACGCCAGATTTCCGGATTCTTCAGTATCCGGACGATTGTTCATCGGAACAGAGTTTTTTAGTAAAAAGTGAATCTAATTAAAGAACCCTCTCTTTACTGAACACAGTTAGGGTGATCTACTCTTAGATCTACATGTTAAAAAATAGAAATTTACCATACATGTATATTACTCAATTTGTAATCAATTGAAGTATTCTAAATATCTTAAAAAGCTAAGATAACAAAATGAAATGCATGTTATTATGCCCGCTTTCGAAGAAGGGAGGGCATATTGCTTTGCTGCTGTCCCTCGGTCGGTCTGTCGGTCCATTTAGTTTCTGTTCATTTTCTTCACAACCGTTGCACATACTGAAATGAAATTTGGTATACAGGTTTATCAGGTAAATATCTAGGCCAAGTTCTGTTTTGGGTACGATCGCACCATTTTTGACAGAGTTATGCCCCTTGGACTCAGAAAAATTCCACTTATTTGCAGTTTCGTTCATTTTCTTCGCAGGGGTTGCACATATTGAAATGAAATTTAGTATACAGATTAATGAGCTTAATATCTAGGTCAAGTTCTATTTTGGGTATGATCGCGCCATTTTTGACAGAGTTATGCCCCTTGGACTCAGAAAAATTCCACTTATTTGCAGTTTCCGTTCATTTTCTTTGCAGAGGTTGCACATATTGAAATGAAATTTAATATACAGATATATCAGATGAATATCTAGGTCAAATTCTATTTTGGGTACCATCACATCCTTTTTGTAAGAGTTATGCCCCCTGGACTTAGAAAAATTCCACTTATATGCAGTTTCTGTTCATTTTCTTTGCAGAGGTTGCATATATATTGAAATGAAATTTAGTTTACAGGTATATCAGATAAATATCTAGATCAAGAAATGTTTTGGGTACCATCGCATCCTTCTTGTTGGAGTTATGCCCCTTGGACTTAGAAAAAAATCCACTTATAAGCAGTTTCCGTTCATTTTCTTTAAGAGGTTGCACATATTGAAATGAAATTTAGTATACAGATTTTTCAGCTGAATATCTAGGTCAAGAATGTTTTGGGAGGGTTGCACCATTTTAGACAGAGTTATGCCCTATATTGCCCTTTTGGGGGGAGGGGGGAGGGGGCATTAGTGTTTTACAAACATCTCTTGTTTACATTTGTTTTCTTCGTGGAGTAAATAATCCTGATTTCTTTTCACTGATACTGTGTTATGTTTGAACAATTTTCCTGGGGATGAATGCCACATACCCTATAGTGAAAATTAAATAGTTAATTTTTCGTCAAAGTTCAACATGTCCAAAAAAAGAAAATTTACAATAGCTTCAATACTATGTGAGCTATAAAGTTAAAACTTTTACAGATTATTAATATATCATAGATTAACAGATGGAAAGTATCACTTGATAAAAAATACTTTAGTTAGAACAAAATACCGGTATTTATCGAGAAAAATTCCTTTTAAAAATGCATAATAGTTTTGAAAAATACACCTAATTATTTCCGTGCTTTTAGTAAGCCATTATTGCAGAAACAATCAATATTTATCAATGAAGGGCAAGTTGGACTTGGATAGCCTCTGGAAAGGTGTTTTCTGTGTTAACTTTGTCCAAATATCAAGACTTCAAAGCCAATTCGAAAGTACATTGCAAATGGCAGATTCTATAGGGTCCTGTCTTTAAAAATGTCATGCTTTCTATAAAAGCCTTTCAGAGACCATTCACGTCCAACTTGCCCTTCATTGATAAACATAAATTATTTCTGCAATGATGGCTTTCACAAAAGGACAGAATTAAGAAGGTGGATTTTTTTAGGTCACCTGAGTTTACTCAGGTGACCTATTGCTATCTGTTTTCGTCTGTCGTCGTTCGTCGTACGTCGGTCGTAAACTTTTAAACATTTTCAGCTTCTTCTCTGCAACCACTGAACCAATTTCAACCAAATTTGGCACAAAGCATCTATGGGTGAAGGGGAACAAAAATTGTGAATTTCATGATCCCTGCCCCCCTGGGGCCTGAGGGGTGGGGCCAAAACCACTAAAATTAATGCAATCTTTAAAAATCTTCTTCTTTACTCCTGGACATCACGCAGTCAAACTGTTTGCATGATTGTAATCAGCATTGAGTCCTCTACCAAAATTGTGAAATTCATGGCCCTGGGGTCAGGGGTTCTAGTGCTAGGGCAGGGCTAAATAAGTATATAGTGAAAATGCATTGTTTCTTTGAAAATCTTCTTCTCTGCTCCTGGGTATTAAATAAACCAACTAAGTAGATAGTTATGATGAGCAAGAGTGCCTCTACCAAAATTGTGAATTTTATGGCCCCAGGGTCAGGGGTTCTGGTGTTAGGGTGGGGCTCCATTGATTATATACAGTGAAAATACATGATTTCTCTGAAAATCTTCTTCTCTGCCCCTGGGTATTAAAAAAACCAACTAAGTAGCATAGTTAGGATGAGCAAGAGTGCCTCTATCAAAATTGTGAATTTTATGGCCCCAGGGTCAAGGGTTCTGGTGTAAGGGGGGGGGGATCTATAGATTATATAGTAAAAATACATGAATTCTTTGAAAATCTTCTTCTCTGCTCCTAGATATTAAATAAACTAACTACGTACATAGTTATGATGAGCATGAGTGCCTCTACCAAATTTGTGAATTTTATGGTCCTAGGGTCAAGGGTTCTGGTGTTGGGGGGGGGGCTCTATAGATTATATATTAAAAATACATGAATTCTTTGAAAATCTTCTTCTCTGCTCCTAGGTATTAAATAAACTAAGTGTATAGTTATGATGAGCAAGAGTGCTTTTACCAAAATTGTGAATTTTATGGTCCCAGGGTCAGGGGTTCTGGTGTTGGGGGGGCTCTATTGATTATATAGTGAAAATACATTAAATCTTTGAAAATTTTCTTCTCTGTCTCTGGGTATGAAGCAGATGAACTACCTGTATAGTTATGATGAGCAAGGGCCCTAATCTTGCAGAATTGTGAATTTCAAGGCCCCAGGGTCAGGGGTGGGGGTGGGGCTCTACTTAAATACTGAAAATGAATTAATTGTTTGAAATCTGCTCCTTTGTATTTATAAAACATTTATTTGTTTTTTGATAGGCAATTTTAAGGTTGCCTTTTTAAAATTTGTGCAATGTTTGGACCTAGGGTCAGGGGTTTATTTCACAGTGTTAGGGGCACTACTGATTATTGCTGAATATTACTGATAAGTTGGAATGCATTCTTGTTCCCCTACCTTGCGTATGGGTATTCAGTACCCTTGCGAGGTGATCATGAATAATTCATGAATTTCCTTGAATTTTTCATGAATTTTATTCATGAAATGTTCATGAAACGTTCATGAAGATCCTATGAACTTATTATTGGACATTTTCAAATCAATAAACCAAGCTAAGCAACTGCTAAGTGAATTGTTATGATGATCAATGGTGCCTCTTTCAAAATTGTGAATGCCATATAGCATCTGGCTTAAAACATGAATCAAATTCAATAACTGGAAAGTTGTTGCAGAATGCTCAGGTGACCTATAAGGCCCGTGGGCCTCTTGTTTTTACAAATATGCACATTTTTAAATAAAATTTTTCTTAAAAAATATATTATTTTAAAAGATTTGTTTTCAAGTGATACTTTCTATCTATTAATTAATGATATATGTATAATTTGTTAAAGGTTTAACTTTTTTCCTCACATAGTTTTGGAGCAATTGAAAAAATAAATTTTTAGACATGTTGACCTTTGACGAAACCTTAAGCTGAACTTAAATACCTTTACGCAATATAATATTTTTCTCAAAGTCTGAAAACAATTTGCATTGATGTATAGAGGGTCCTTAACATTCATCTTCCTTAATACTTATTTTACACTAAAAAAATTACATTTCTTGATATAAACTTTGTGATTTTTAGCTCACCTGAGCTGAAAGCTCAAGTGAGCTTTTCTGATCACCCGTTGTCCATCGTCCGTCCGTCCGTCTGTCTGTGCGTCCGTCTGTAAACTTTTCACATTTTCAACTTCTTCTCAAGAACCACTGGGCCAATTTTAAGCAAACTTGGTACAAAGCATCCTTGGGTAAAGGGGAATTTGAATTGTTAAAATCAAGGGCCAAGACCCCTTCCAAGGGGAGATAATCAAGAAAATGCAAAAATAGGGTGGGATCATTAAAAAATCTTCTTCTCAAGAACCACTGGGCCAGAAAAGCTGAAACTTATATGAAAGCATTCTGGGGTAGTGTAGATATTAAATTGTTAAAATCATGACCCCTGCGGGTAGGGCGGGGCCACAATGGGGAATCCAAGTTTTACATAGAAATATATAGAACAAATCTTTAAAAATCTTCTTCTCAAGAACCACTGGGCCAGGAATGCTGAAACTTATGTGGAAGCATCCTTGGGTAGTGTAGATATATAATTGTTAAAATCATGACCCCCGGGGGTAGGGCGGGGCCACAATAGGGAATCCAAGTTTTACATAGAAATATATAGAACAAATCTTTAAAAATCTTCTTCTCAAGAATCACTGGGCCAGGAGAGCTGAAACTTATGTGGGAGCATCCTAGGGTAGTGTAGATATTAAATTGTTAAAATCATGACCCCCTGGGGTAGGGCGGGGCCACAATAGGGAATCCAAGTTTTACATAGAAATATTTAGAACAAATCTTTAAAAATCTTCTTCTCAAGAACCACTGGACCAGGAAAGCTGAAACTTATGTGGAATCATCCTTGGGTAGTGTAGATATTAAATTGTTAAAATTATGACCCCCGGGGATAGTGCGGGGCCACAATAGGGAATCCAAGTTTTACATAGAAATATGTATAGAATAAATCTTTAAAAAAGATCTGCATCACCCAAGTTACTCAGGTGAGCGATGTGGCCCGTGGGCCTCTTGTTAAAATAATTTTGATTTTGTTATTTAAACTAATATATATGAATTATTATTATTGAAATAAAATCTGTACTGTTTATCATTCTAACTAGAAAAAAGGATAAGGAACAATTTTTTTTAACAATCTTCTCCAGATTCGACATTTGAACCTCCACCAGAATGGTCCCAGATGAAGGACTCGGAGAACCTGGTTGTAGTCATGGTACAGAGTGGTTCACCAGAGTACACTCATGTTATCAATAAATTCCAGCAAGAAGTAGGAAACAGGAACATAGTCAAGGTAAGATAGAAGAGTAGCAGTTTACTAACTAGTATAATATCATATGCTACCTCGTTTTGCTGGATTTTTTTTTTTCGAAGGCCAGGAATATTGAAAATATACTGATGCTATGTAAAGGGAATGATATTTAATTTCTTCTTTACTTGATAGATTCTTTTATTTTATTATAATAGCCTTACAAAATAAAAGATAAATATTCATTAATACAAGATTCATTAATAGAATATAAAGACAAGGAAATAAAAATCAAACTACAACAACCAACAAATAAATATTAAACAGAAAAAAACGTCTCTTTTTAAAACCCATTTTTATATTAAGTTAGCAATTCTATTTCCTTATTTAAGAAAACAAATCTGATGATAATATTTTTTTCATCAGTCTGATGCAACAAACAACTTAATTAACTTTATTATTTATATGATGGCTTCAACCTTTCCATCTTCAACATACCTTATTTTAGTAGCAATATACCATTATCATAATATTTATGCATAGTTTTGCTTTATGTCTCTATAAGTTAATCTAATATATTTACATCCAATGAATATTTTCGTAAGAAAAATCATTGACATTTATCAGTACATGAACAACACTAGGCATGTCACCTGTACAGATTTCTCAATCAGTGGCTATCAATGGAACATACTGTAACTTACATATCAATAATACAATGATTAATCTTTATGATCCTACTTTTAATGTTTATTTATACAGATATGAACAAACAAACAAAGAAATATAGATACAAATATGAACAATAAAATGTTTTTAGCTCACCTGAGCCGAAGGCTCAAGTGAGCTTTTCTGATCACATTTTGTCCGTCGTCCGTCCGTCCGTCCGTCTAGCTGTCCATCTGTAAACTTTTCACATTTTCGACTTCTTCTCAAGAACCTCTGAGCTGATTTTGACCAAACTTAATACAAAGCATCTTTGGGTAAAGGGGAATATAAATTGTTAAAATGAAGGGAAAGCATCCTGGGGTAGTGTAGATTCTAAATTGTTCAAATCATGACCCCCGGGGGAAGGGCGGGGCCACAATGGGGAATCAAAGTTTTACATAGAAATATATAGGAAAAATCTTTGAAAATCTTCTTCTCAAGAACCACTGGGTCAGAAAAGCTGAAACTTATGTGGAAGCATCCTGGTATAATGTAGATTCTAAATTGTTCAAATAATGACCCCCGGGGGATGGTTGGGGCCGCAATGGGGAATCAAAGTTTTATATAGAAGTATATAGGAAAAATCTTTGAAAATCTTCTTCTCAAGAACCACTGGGCCAGAAAAGCTGAAACTTATGTGGAAGCATCCTGGTATAATGTAGATTCTAAATTGTTCAAATAATGACACCCGGGGGAAGGGCGGGGCCACAATGGGGAATCAAAGTTTTATATAGAAATATATAGGAAAAATCTTTGAAAATTTTCTTCTCAAGAACCACTGGGCCAGAAAAAGTGAAGCTTATGTGGAAGCATTCTGGGGTAGTGTAAATTCTAAATTGTAGGAATCATGACCCCCGGGGGAAGGGCGGGGCCATTATAGGGAATCAAAATTTTACATAGAAATATATAGGAAAAATCTTTGAAAATCCTCTTCTCAGGAACCACTGGGCCAAAAAAGCTGAAACATATGTGTCCATGGAAGGATCATGGGGTAGTGTAGATTTCAAAATGTCTAAATTATGATCTGTGGGGTAGGGTGGGGATGCATTATGTATAGCAAGGGTGAAATCTGGTAAAGAACAGAATGGTCAAAGCTTCTCAGGTGAGCGATGTGGCCCATGGGCCTCTTGTTCTTTGGTTATTAGTAAGTAAATTAATGTTGCATCAATTGCAGAAACACATTTCATTACCCGCTTTCTAACAACCAATTGCAAAGAAAGCCTTTTATTGTTAAAAGCAAAAGCATGTATGAACAATTTCTAAACCAAGACAGACTACTAAGAAATAAGATAATAATACAATGGTATTATCAATCTCACTTAACCTTGTTTGCAAAATACAATCCATTTTTAGCTCTACTGGTCAGAGACCAGAAGAGCTTATGCGATAGTAATGCGTCCGTCGTCCGTCCGTCTGTCTGTCTGTCTGTAAACAATTTTGCAAAATGCTACTCCTCCTACAGTTTTGGTCCAATTTCGATATAACTTGGCACACAAGTAGACTACACCAAGATACATAATTCTGTGCATCGGTTTTTGATTTCGATGAACGGTGTTGCCGTGGTTACTAAAAATAGAAATTTCTGAGAAATTCTTTCAAAATGCTACTACTCCTACAGTTTTGGTCCGATTTCAATATAACTTGGCACAAAAGTACACTACACTAAGATACATAATTCTGTGCATTGGTTTTTGATTTTGATGAACGGTGTTGCCGTGGTGACTAAAAATAGAAATCTCTAAGAAATTCTTTCAAAATGGTACTCCTCCTACAGTTTTGGTCCGATATCAATATAACTTGGCACACAAGTAGACTACACTAAGATACATAATTCTGTGCATCGGTTTTTGATTTCGATGAACAATGTTGCTGTGGTTACTAAAAATAGAAATTTATGAGAAATTCTTTTAAAATGCTACTTCTCCTACAGTTTTGGTCCGATTACAATATAATTTGGCACACAAGTAGACTATACTAAGATACATAATTCTGTGCATTGGTTTTTATTTTGATTAGTGGCAAGGATCATTTTTCTATTTATTGCTGTTTTAAAGTTTCAAGTCCCAACTTCTACTTTTCTCTTCCTTTGTTTTAAGTATAAACCAGTAGAGCTACAGTCTCGACAGAGACTTCTGGTTATGATTTTGTTACACAAAAAGGCCAGTTTTTGAAACATAATTGTTTATGGATTTCTTCATTTACCCTATTACTAACAGGGGCTTACAGTGGGTTTAAGTTTGATCTAACATAAGAAACTTAAAAAAAATGATTTAATGAATGCCTGTTGGAAACCTGAAATTTAAATTATGCTACATGTACCTTACAAGTTAGGATATGACATATGGTACATAAACCTGTTTTGAATATATATGTAAAAGTAAAATATGAATTATACTTCTGTAGAACACAGAGTAACTGAAAATACTGTGAAATCACAAATTTCATGGGGGTTTCCTTATCATTATTTTTTAAAGTATGGAGAAACCTACAAATTTATGACCGCCACGAAATGTAAAATTTCATATGCACTACTACTGAACCTTTTGAAAATATGTGATTTTTACAGTGTGCATTAAAAAATTGTAGTTGGAGAGAATACAGAACAAGATGCTGTACCAACAATATGTGGCCAAAAAGAAGTTGTTAGATACTCAGAATCCCCCTGGTACACAGAACGAGAGAGAACTCTGGCATGGGACTGCTCCAGAGGCAGTTAACAGTATCAACTCTTTAGGCTTCAACAGGAGCTACTGTGGCAAAAATGGTACAAATCACAGACTAAACTATTTATTGTCTTACATGTACATCTTACATTTCATCATCGTTTCGTACGTTCTTTGCTCGATACAATGACTTTGTTAGCAAATACAATTTACCATTGAGTGAAATGTTAACTGACTTTTTTCATACTAAATTTTTATTACATATTCAAAGAAGTGAAGCTTTAAATAATAACTGTTAATATGTTTCTGAAAAAAATTAAAGCTCAATGATTTTATATCTTTAAAGCATATTTAAAAAATAATTTAATGATACAATGTAATTTTTTTATCGATAGATGTGTCATGTGTAATTATATTTTGTGATTACAGCTGTGGCTTATGGTGAAGGAGTTTATTTTGCTGTAAACGCAGGATATTCAGCACAGGATACATATTCCAGACGAGACCCAAGTGGAAATAAGCGAATGTACTTGTGTAAAGTCCTGACCGGGGAATTTACTGTTGGCAAGGGTGGTATGAGGGTTCCACCTGCAAAGGGTCAACAGTCACATATTCTGTATGACTCAGTGGTAAACAATATGGCAAATCCTGTTATGTACATTATATTCAATGATACCCAAGGCTATCCTGACTATCTCATCACATTTCAGTGAGATTTAATAGAATGAAAAAATTTGAAAAATTTCTATGCTAAATTTCTGAACAAGGAACGTTGACTTTGCATTATATAGAGTGAATTTTTGCAATATTTTGAGTAAAACTTAGACATAAATACAAAGAAAGTAATAGATAGTGGTGATATTGAAATTTGTTAAACTAGTACTAGAATTTGAAGTTGTAATCTATATTTTCGGAATGACATACCGTAATTATCATATAAATAATTATATTTAAGTACTAGTAATTTAATTCTGTATTACCCTGGACTCAAGTTATACAATTCATCAGAATGTTAAAATTATGTTCACAAAAAGAGCCATATCGTATTTGATAGACGTTTTGCTTGTTCCAGTTGTCATTTGTTAAATACATTGTTTACCCAATATTTTGTAATACTATTAATTTATTCACGCTAACATCCAAATCGCAACATAATGATATTTCAATGTTAATCATTCCCTCATACAATAATTATGAAAAGTATTTATTTTGAATAAAATAAAAAAATGAAAACCCTTCTGTGTTTAGTAAATCATAAGTGGAAAAATTATTAGATATACATGTGTTATTGAGTCATAATCTGACAGTATGTACTTGTCCCTGCAGACAAAGCAGGTAACAACATTGTCTTTGTAAGGCTCATATATAAATTGTATTTCAGAGGAGCTCGGATTTAATTCCACTAGTGGTAATCCAATTTATACACGAAGCTCCCTTTCTAAGGGGGAAATTCTTCAAAATCGTTTGTCAGTTTTGAGTACATGTATTTGTAATATTCCTAACAACCTATTTGAACACGTGATATCACTTATTCAGATAGGTGATATTACCTTTTCAAAAACTGAATAGGTGATATCACTTATTTGAATAGGTGGTCAATACAGAAAGAAAAACATGGCCAAGGAGGGTGGAAGTTGCATAAATGCGTTTATCAAATGGGCGGTGATGTGTAGTCTTATGCTAGAGTTGGTTTTTAGTGTAGAACCTCTGACGTGACCCTCAGTGGGATGTTGTTAGATGCTAGTGTAGCGAGTATGCAAGCGGATCTAACATCTAATTTTACTAACATCTAATTTTAATTAGATTTTTTCGTGCCAGTACCAATTGCGACCTCAGTAAATACAGTCTATTCCTTACCAGTCTCCAAGTCCCACAATGGGATTCAAACCCCCGACTTAAGTATCGACTCCTTACTTCGCGACTCTAGAGAAGACGCTTTAACCACTGCGCCACGCAAACGACTTACTGCTATAGGGAAAATACATGTAAATAACATGTATAATTCATTTACTTTGGCCTTTTAATATGTAAAGAATACTTGCATTGTTAAAAAATTATCGTTACATTTAGGTAAATCTGAATGCATTTGAATTGGTTCCAAAAGAACGCTTCAAATTAACCATAACATTGATTGTAAAGAAAAAGTTAAAAAAAATACTGGCGTTTTGATTGCCAAATGTTTAAAGGTGAATGCATCGTTGTTTGTTCAGAAAGTAAATAAGAGATTTCGTTTTCTGTATTGAAAAACCGGTTTTAGCTCTACTGGTCAGAGACCAGGAAAAGCTTATGCGATAGTAAGATGTCCATCGTCCGTCCGTCTAGCTGTCCGACTGTCTCGAAACAATTTTTCAAGATGCTACTTCTCCTACAGTTTTGGTCTGATTTTAATATATACTGAAAGGATTAAGAAACGCATATTAAATTTTGAGTTAAATTAAAACAATTATTTCAAATCTGTTTTTCAGCATTTTTATCATACATTTTAATTCATCTCTAATCAACAAGTTACCAAAATTTTTTTGCGATTTTGAGAGATAGTTCTTGAGATATTGATATCATTATGGTGACACCCCCCAAAAATAAAACTAAAAATTCTCATAATCTCCCTTTCGCATCAGTAACAAACTTGATTTTCCTGTGCATTGAGTTCACCAGAGCATTTATTTTTTCATAGCATTATTAGTCAACCCTTCCGACGGTAGTCTTAATGGCTAAGATTAGCTGTATTATTCCAAAGTCAACAAATCCCCCCGCTCAATCGAATCCTGCGAATTTTCGATTTAGGATAGAATATACAGAACCCAGCAGGTTTGGTACTTGTGAATCTTTGTAAAAAAAAGTATCGACAAATACTAGCTACATTTTTCCAGTGTAAAAATGCTTAAAAACATTACGTAAACGACGCGTACGTGCGCGTTTGAGAGGAAAATCGACGTAAGCTGGCCAAGCTCGCGGCCCAAATCAGAGCGGAGAGTTTCTGTCATTTAGGGTGAAAAAATGTTTGTCTGCTGTATAAATATCAGTTTCGGTGATGATGCCTTGACAATAACCGAGGTGGCGTGATGAAAAGCTCTATCTTGTTGTGACATTGGTACACGCCAACGGCACCGTCATGGTTGGTTGGAAACATTTTACGTTCACTCTCTGAAAACCAAAAAACACTTTTATTTGGTTGAAAAGTTGAACACAATCTGTACATCAACACGTTTTTGCCTTTCTATTCACTTATGCAATATTAAATTCAATTACTAAACCCACAGTAGATTCCGTCGGCCATTCAACGATTGCAAGAAATTTATACCGACTGCAAATATGCAAAAACGATGTCTGTAATTCTAATGCATAGTATGGTTCTACAAAATTTTATTACAAAATTATCATCATTAACTTGCATGTGTTTTTGACTTTTTATCATTTCCCCTACGTGATGCCATACATTTCATGGTCGAGTAGTTTTGACTAATGATTTTAGTGCAAAGTAACCAAAATAAACATCTGACCAATTTTCATAATTTATGTCACATAGTCAGAAAATTTACCCATATCATGTTCTTGTGCGTTTCTTTTTCTTTTCAGTATATATTGACACACAAGTAGACTACATTAAGATACGTAATTTAGTATATCGATTTTTGATTTCGATGAACGCTGTTGCCATGATCACTAAAAAGAAAATTCTGAAAAATTCCTTTAAATCGCTACTCCACCTACAGCTTTGGCCTGATTTTAATAAACCTTGTCATACAAGTAGACTACACTAAGATACATAATTTAATGCATTGGTTTTGATGAATGGTGTTTCCATCAGGTTAATAAAATAGAAATTTCTATGAAATTCCATTAAAACCCAACTTCTCCTTCAGATTTGGTCTGATTTCAATATAACTTGGCACACAAGTCGACTACACTTAGATACATAATTCTCTGCATCGGTTTTTGGATTTCATGAAGGGTGTTGCCATGGTTAATAAAAAAATAGAAATATCTGTGATATTTCGTTGAAACGCCACTCCTCCTACAGTTTGGTCTGATGGCAATGGCTTCTCTTCTCTTCCTTTGTTATAAGTACAAACCAGTAGAGCTACTGGTTATTGTATGTACCTTTTGGGTTGTTTTTAATTTTTTCATGTGACAAGCTTAACATATATTGAATATCAAGTAATACTGCTGTATATTTCATTGGCATTTGTAATAAATGCTCCTTTATATTCAAACATTCATTGATTGTTTGTTGATATCATTTTTGGCAAAAAACAGAGTAGAGTAGATTCTGTTAGAAAAATGAGAATAGGTATTTGAAGTAAAAATAGACGATGGAATAACTTTAACTTTTCATACCAACTCACCACAGACATGAATGCTTTTTCGAAGGGGGTTCTGCATGCGTTTTCGAGGGGTCATTTTTCTTTTGTTTACAACTCTGCAAATAATACTGGGGGGGGGGGGAGGGGGGGGGAGTGGGGGGGGGGGTCCGACAACCTAATCCTTTTAGATTCGCTCAGCTACACTGAATATAACACATAATGCCGTACAAAGTCATAAAAGCCAAGATTAATGTTGGAATTACCAACATTAAAGTTTGAATTATATACATGTACCAACTTTAAAAAATATTTCATGGCAATAATACACTTCCGTAGTGAAGCATTTGAGTGTACATCTAACTATGTGTCAGTATCGATGTCAATATTCTCATGAATTTCATTAGCATTCAATTTATTACAAATGTGCTATGTTTATAGAGGTCAAACTATGTTTTAATTATTACAATTTAATAAGTAAAGAACATTCTTGAAAACGAAATATCAGATTCGATGCCTATTTTCCCCCATTTTGGATGTATGCATTTTAAAAAATCAGTTACACACAAAACAATACAGTTATCTAGCCTGACGTATAGGAAGGTTCAGTTTAAAAATTGTTTGCACATAGATAACAAGATGTGTTTGTGAAACACTATACTCCCGATGATAACAGTTCTGGAGTGGAACGTCACGTTTGTGGTCACATGATAAAAAAATTCTGTACCTTTAGAAAAGGTTTTGCCATTATGAACACTCATGTCAAATATATTAAAGCCTTACCCTTGACTTCGCAATAGTTATGGGCTAGGTTAAATTTAACAACAGACAGACACACAGTACAAAAACAATATACCTTCCGATCTTTCTATCAGGGAACATAAAAAGGGAACGCTTGTTAATTATAAATTCACTTCAATCAGATAGGAAAGCATTAGAACATTTAATTGTGAGGTCTTTATTACCCATAAATTTCGAAATTTTTTTAAAAATATAAAATCGAAAGCCTTGGTTATAGCAGTCAATGAGAGATGGATACATCATTCAGTTCTGATGGGAAATGAAAACTGAATCATCATATATTACGACGTGATAGGAATAGAACAGTGGGTGGAGTTTCTTTACATATACACGCAACAAATATGCCTTCACTCAGTTGGAGGATAATCACAGTTAGGACCAAAAGTCAATCTGGGTTAATCTATTTTTACCAAAGACCAAACCAAGTCAGATTGGAGTGTGCTACAGACCACCTTGCCAGTCCAATTTTCTAGAGTATTTTGAACAGGGTCTTCAAATGCTACGAAGCGACTGTGAAACCTACATTTTAGGAGATTTTAACTTAGATTTTAAAATTTCCGATTAGAATAGTGTTTATAAAAAATACTTATAAAAAATTCTTGAATCTTTATGATCGCTGAAATATGGCTGAAATATTGCCTACTCGGCGTCCAAAAATAATCAATAAATCAATCAATGAATCTTTTTTTTTTTTTTTTTACCAAATTCAGATCATCGATGGACCCATTATGATAATAGATTCATAATCTGCTGTAATAGACCATATATCATCACCAACAGAAAACTAACATTTTTTCAGTTTAGAACAATACCCGTTTGTCTGAGTCATCACTGTGCTATATTTTGTTTAAGGAGGATCTCGAGAGGTCATTTTAAATCAGATCAATGTATTACTATACGCACTTTT